CAACCTCGTCCCCAGGGCCATCTCGGCCGACTCCTTTTCAAGATGGCGGTCGTCGGGGAGATGACCCTGGCGTTGGCTGGAATCACGTGATCAAAACCTCCAAGATTTTTGGAGGTTTTGATCACGTGGCTTATCTATTCAAAATGGCGCTCGAAACGTGAACTCAACGGTTTCACAAACTGGGATAGCTGTGGTGGGTCGGTATTTGCTTTGTTTTGATGATTTATTTGAAAAATGTCCTTCCGTCCTGCCGTCATCGGCAGTGTTGACCCCTAGACCGCCTACGGGAGTAGATCCAGTTCATTCTAGAATTCTTGAGGGATCCGCTCACTGCAGAAATCGGCGAGTAGAAGACTTCTATAACATCGAATGCTATCGCTAAATATATCCGTCAAGTTAAATTTCTTACACGAGTAGTTGGCATCTCAAAACCACGCATTGGACAAGAGAGACATAAGAGGACAACTGACAAGAATTCCAAAGAATATCGTTGCTTTTTAATCGACAAAACGTACCTTAATTAAATTTCGGGAATATTTGAATAAAAACAATGAACGCATCGTAACGGTTAAATCAATAACCGATCAAAGACCTAACGGTTATCCGGACATACCGACAGTGTCGAACACATCCCGACCTATAGACGAACATAAACAGCCAATAATGAGTGATATAAGAAAAGGCATTTTGAATAGCCAATCAGAAAGTGGCTTAGTTCAGCCAACGCCAGGGTCATCTCCCCGACGACCGCCATCTTGAAAAGGAGTCGGCCGAGATGGCCCTGGGGACGAGGTTGCCATTACATAAAGAAACCTCGAATGTGTTGTTTTCAATATAACAACATAGATAATGGAGAAATATAGGTATTTTATAGATAATTATATAATAAAAAGCTATTTCAAATAGGTCGTCGAATCGACAGTGTAAACATACTTTTCAAGCTGATTGATTTCCTCCGCGATGTATACAATCACCATGACAAAAACGCATATTTCACAGGTCTGTCTTAGTAAATCAGGTCCACCGCTGTACTCGGTGGGGGCTTCTCGTGTACAACCATACAGAAGAGCATATGATAATAGTAAGAGAAAAACCAGGTAAAATCCACCAGTGGCACTGGAATAAATAAACAAACAAACAAAAGAAAAGTCAGAAGACAATTTTGTCCAACAACTTTTGCAATAAAACCAATGAAAATATATTCTAGGACATTTATGTTGCTAGGTAGCTTCATTATAATAGTCGGTGCTATGTTTCTCTAGCAAAACTTTATTAAATTCAAAAAACTAAAACACTAAGCTTTCGGACGGTCGTCCATCATCAGAGTAAACTAAAAGGCATTATTCCAGCAATATAAAGATAAAAAATTTACAAGACAATAGATATGATAAAATATG